TCAAACTTTGGTGAAGTGTTTCATGAAACTGTTAAAAACAAAAAAGCAAAACAGTTGCAGGAATAAGTTATTTTAACACAGTGCAGACTTCGTGTCAGGTGCCTAAAAGGATTACCTTTGGGCGCCTCCATTAACTGTTATTTACTAAAAATTTGGGACATTAGTTGTCTAATGATAGATTTTTGTATTGTATAGGTACAATGTAGGAGAGGTATTTTCAGCTGCTTTGGAAGAGAGGAGAATTCAGGTTCTGCTCTCTTAAAGCCGCTGAAGACTTTGAGCCTTCCTACCTTTGAACCTACTAGTAAATCCCCTCAAATACTGACCTGATGCCTGGCGTATGATTCTCCAGTCTCCTGTTCTTTTGAGCCTTAACAATGTTTTGGGGATAAATTAGGTACATGGAAGCAGGTGGGTGAAGAGACAGGTATACTTTATTAGAGTAAATATGCACCCATTTTGGGAGCAGTTTGGCCGGAAGCCAGAATTAGCCTATTAATACTGATGTCATTTCTACACAGTGCCTTTGGTCTTGTACCACATAGCTCATTAATCACAGAAGTCATTCCTTCCCTCCCAACATTTAAGGTGGTTTTTCTTTTGTATAGGTAGAGGTGAGCTTTATTTTTTTTTCTTGTTATCAGCTAAATCCTCGAAATTGAGGAACTTCTGAAAAATTGCTTTGTTAATTAATTCTTTCACATATCCAAAATATGCAAAACTGCAGACTGGTAAAGATAAACCACTAAATATTGCTAATCACATGACAGATTTATGTATGAGGAAATTAAAGATAACCGCTGTTTAAATAACTTTGCTATTAAGTTAGCTACTGATGTAATTTTGTAGATATGATCTATTAGGATGTGCTATTCAGACCCTTGAAAACCAAAAGCAAAAACTGACCTAAACATTTTATAATCTGGAAAGTTTATTTGCATACTGTTGTTTCTCACAACTAATGACAGTTGAGACTGACCAGTAATATGATTTCTGTTTTAAAAATGCAGACATCGAAACTTTTATTTTTTATGTTTTGAAACAGGGTCTTGCTCTGTTGCCCAGGCTGGAGTGCAGTGGCATGATCTCGCCTAACTGCAACCTCTGCCTCCCAGGCTCAAGCGATCCTCCCACCTCAGCATCCAGGGTAGCTGGGAGTACAGGCCTGTGCTACCACACCTAGCTAATATTTTGTATTTTTAGTAGAGACGGGGTTTTGTCATGTTGCCAGGCTGGTTTCAAGCTCTTGAACTGAAGTGATCTGTCCGCCTCAGCCTCCCAAAGTGCTGAGATTACAGCTGTGAGCCACCACACCCCGCCTAGACACTGAAACTCTTAAAAGAAGCTAAATTACTGTCTCACTTAGTTCAAATAGCCAGAAAAGTGTACAATGGAGTTAAGGCTCAAATCCAGATCTTTTGACTTTGAATCCTATAACCTACCCCCTTTCTATTTGCCGCGTACAGTTGGCAGGCTCCTCTTCTACCTGTATTTTCAAAATAGATGCATATCAGTGATTCTCAAAAGTGTGGCCTGGTAATTCCAGGGGTCCTTGAGGCCCTTTCAGAGGGTTCTCAAGGTCAAAATTATTTAGTCATACCAAGACATGACCTTTTTGACTAAGGCTTAGGGAAATACAACAGTCCCACATTTTGAAGTAGAATTCTCAAGGCAGTAAATAGAGAATGGTAAGTGAGTTAAGGAGGCTTCTCTAGGAATGGATGTCTGAGCCTCTTGGAAAACTAAGTTAAGGTACTGTCGTAAGATCTAGTTGGGGTGGGGATGGTAGAGGAGAGGATAGAGAGTTGGAGGATACCCCTCTCTTAAATGGGCTGAATAATTTGTATGTATGTATTGTTTAGTGTAGTAGTTTTATGGTATCTCATTGTTGTTTTAATTTGCAATTCCCTAATGGTAAGTGATGTTGAGCATCTTTTCATATGTTCACCTGCCTTTGTACATCTTGGGTGAAGTCTCTGTTCAGATCATTTGCCCCTTCTCCTCCATTTAAAAAAATAGACAGGGTCTTGCTCTGTTGCCTAGGCTTAAGTGCGGTGGCACGATCTTAGTTCACTGCAGCCTTGAACTCCTGGGCTCAGGGGATCCTCCCACAGCATTGGGATTATGGGCATGAGTCACCACACCTGATCTTTTGCCTACTTTTTAATTGGGTGGTTTGTGTTCTTATTGTTGAGTTTTAAAAGTCTTTGTATATTTTGGATACCAGTTCTTTATCAGATGTCTTTTACAAGATTTTCTCCCAGCCTGTGACTTGAGTTTTTATTTTAACAATGTTTTTCACAGACCAGAAATTTTTAATTTTAATAAAGTACAACTTAGCAGCTTTTTGTTTCGTGAGTTGTGCTTTTGGTGTTTTATCTAAAAACTCATTGACAAACCTAAGGTCACCTAGATTTTCTTTTATATTATGATCTAGAAGTTTTATAGTTTCTCATTTTACATTTAGGTTTATGATCCATTTTGAGTTAATTTTTGTGAAAAGTGTAAGGTCTGTGTCTGGATTCTTTTTTTTTTTTTGCATATGGATGTCTGGTTGTTACAACACCATTTATTGTAAAGAGTATTCTTCCTCTCTTGCGTTGCCTTTACTGCTTTGTCAAAGATCATTTGACTTTGTGTGTGTCTATTTTATCTCATTGACCTATGTCTGTTCTTTCGCGAATACCACTCTATCTTGATTATTATAGATTTATAGTAAGTGTTGACATTGGGAAGTGTCAGTCATCCAACTTTTTTCTTCCTCAGTATTGGGCTGGCTAGTCTAAGTCTTTTTTTTTTTTTGTCTCTACATAAACTTTAGAATCAATGTTTTGATAGCTGCAAAATAGCTTGCTGAGATTTCAATTGTGATTGCATTAAATGTATATATCAACTTAGGAAAAACTGAAGTCATGACAATGTTGTCTTCTATTCCATGCACGCATACTATTTTTCTGGTTTTTTTAGATCTTTGATTCCTTTTGTCAGTTTTGTAGTTTTTTGCATATAGGTTCAGTATATATTTCGTTTGATTTATAACTAAGCATTTAATTTTTTGTGGTATTGTAAATGGTATTGTATTCTTAATTTCAAATTCCAGTCATTGTTGGTATGTAGAAAAGCAACTCACTTTTGTATATTACTCTTGTATTCTGAAATCTTGCTGTAACTGCTTATTTCAGTTTATTGTTGTTACTGATTTTTGTTTGTTTTAATGACCCTGTCATGTTATCTATAAAGAAAGACAGGCTTTTCCTCCTCCTCAGTCTGCATACCTTTTATTTCCTTATTGCACAAGCTAAGATTTCCGATATGATGTTTTCTAGGAGTGATGAGAGAGGATATCCTTACCTTGTTCTTTCTTACTAGTATGATGTTAGCTGTGAGTTTTCGAATATATGTTATTTAGCCTGTTGAGAAAACTTTCCTCTGTTCTAGTTTGTTAAGAGTGATTAGTCATGAATAGGTATTGGGTTTTGCCAGTAATGTTTCCTGCATCAATTGATTTGATCATATGATACTTCTTTTGGCCTATTGATGTGGTGAATTACATTAATTGTTCATTAATTACCTTTTTAAAAAATGCTTTTCTGATGTCAAGCCAGCCTTGCATACCTGGAATAAATTTCTCTGGTTCATGGTATAAGTCTTTTTATATATTGTTGGATTTGATTTGCCAATACTTTGTTTAGGATTTTTGCATCTGTGTTTGTAAGAGATACTGATTTGTGAATTTTTTTTTCTTGATTTTTTTTTTGCTTGGTTTTGATGTTATTCAACCTGTTCTCATTTTTCTTTATACTCTTCTAGCTTTTATTCATATACATTTTCTGATTTTAGCTGTGTGAAAATGATGTACAAGTAGTGTTTTATTTGTTCACTTGAATTAGAAATCTCTAACATCCATTCAGTCTCCAGTAAAGCCTGTTTTATGCCGCTTGATACTTTTCTTTATATGGTTTTCATTTAAGACCAGTTATATTTAAAATGTTGAATTTTAAAATGAGAAATGTCATTTAGCTATATTTACAGGAAGGTGGTTATACTCTGAAATCTCTAGATTTTTCTTGTGAAGTTATAGTTAAATTAAGATAATAATGAAGAAAAACTTTGTTTTCCTTTAGCTAATAAGGAGAAGTGTCGTAGTCCTTGGTACTTACACAGTAACTCTTACCTAGAAAAAATAATGGGATCGTGTACCTTCTCAGAGCTGAGGCACTCACTGAACAGGCTTGACTGGCAGGATCTCACCCCGCCCTTTTCTTGCATGCTCCTCATATTTTTCTCATACATTTCTTTCCTAACCTTTGTGTGAAATAGAACATTGTTTTTATTTTTTTATTTCTTTTTATTTTATTTCAGTAGGTTTTTGGGGAACAGGTATTGTTTGGATAAATTCTTTAGTAGTGATTTCTGAGATTTTGGTGCACCCATCACCCAAGCAGTGTACACTATACTCAATGTGTAGTCTTTTATCCCTCACCCTCCTCTCGCCCTTCCCTTTAAGTCCCAAAGTTCATTGTGTCATTCTTACATTTTTGTGTCCTCACGGCTTAGCTCCCTCTTATAAGTGAGAACATATGATATTTGGTTTTCCATTCTTGGGTTACTTTACTTAGAATAATGGTCTCCAACTCCTTCCAGGTTGCTGAGAATGCCATTATTTTGTTCCTTTTTATGGCTGAGTAGTATAGAAATGGAAGAACATAGTTTAATAGTGATTTTCTTCCCTTGTAAAATGTTATGTTTCCTACTGTCAAGTATTAAGTAAATTGAAGAAAACATAATTTGATTTCTTTTTTTGAATTTTGTATTTAGTCAATATTTCTATGATGAAAAAGTTTTGCAGCTTAACATAGGGTGTGACTAGGGATGATGATGGAAACAAAGAGGAAAGTTTAGGACTTACTAACCTGAGGAAAATAAAAGTATATTAATTATAAGGTTATTTTGATGTTTAAAAAATGGCTGTTTGTGTTTGTGCCTCTGCTTTTTCTTAGGCAGAGACTCCCCCTAATGGGCCAGATTGTGGCTATGGCTCATTTCACCAGCAGTACTGGCTTGACGGAAAGATCATTGCTGTGGGGGTGATTGACATCCTCCCAAACTGTGTATCATCTGTATATTTGTACTACGATCCTGATTATTCGTTTTTGTCTTTGGGCGTCTACTCTGCACTACGGTAAGATTGTTTTTTGCCAGTATTGTAGTGAGTTATATAGAACTTCGAATAATTACTCATTTGATTGTATTTAATTATATAGCAGTAGATGTCCTATTTGACAGTGTATTACAATAATTTGTTGCTAATCTCTTAAGTAGAATATATGCTACTATATTATAGATATTCTATGTGAGAGTTGAATACTACTATAAAATATATAATCATATATAATTTATAATTTCCATTTAAGAACAATTAGTATATTTAAAATTATTGAATTTCAAAATGAATTTTAAAATTTAACTAGTTGTATTTACAGGAAATATATATTATATAACTAGTCATTTAGTTGTATATATAAAATATACAGTTATATATAAACTAGTCATTTAACTAGTTGTATTTATAGGAAATAAATATTACTTATAACCAGTATCTGTAATATATAGTAGTTTTTACTGTATTTAGAAGGTATTACCTTTAGAGCTGATGCCAGTGCCTGATGGTAATTCTCTAGCTATTTTTTTTTGAAACAGGGTCTCGTTGTTGCCAGGCTGGAGTTCAGTGGCATGATTTCGGCTCACTGCAGCCTCTGCCTCCCAGGTTCATGCAATTCTCCTGACTCAGCTTCCCAAATAACTGGGATTATGGGTGCACACCAGCACACCCAACTAATTTTTGTATTTTTAGTAGAGACGGGGTTTCACAATGTTGGCCAGGATGGTCTCAATCTCTTGACCTTGTGATCCGCCTGCCTCGGCCTCCCAAAGTGCTGGGATTACAGGCGTGAGCCTGGCCAATTCTCTAGCTTTTTAAGGTATTCATGTAGTTAAGAGGTCATTGTATTTGTGGGTAGCTTTCTTTGTTTATGCATTTATTTATGTTCTCCATCAGAACTACTTATATTCCTTAAGTGTTATATTACTTATATTCTTGTCATCACTAGTTTCTACTTTCTTTTTTCTTTTTCAAATGAGATGGGGTCTTGCTATGCTGCCCAGGTTGGTCTTGTACTCCTGGGCTCAAGTGATCCTCAGCCTTTCAGGTAGCTGGAATTGTAGGCTTGCACTACTGCATTCAGCTTTATATTTTTTTTACTATTAATTAAAAGTTAAATTAATGTGGTATAAATGAATCAAAGTAATATGAGTCTACTGGAAGAAATATGCATGTATATAGAACGGGCCTGGGGAATCCCTGGCGATCTGCTTGAATTTATGACCCTCATCAAAAGATAATTTCTATGGCTGGAAATATATGTATGCAGCACAAAACATTTTTAGTGATGAGAAGATTAGAGTCATACTCCAGTTTTCTGTATTTATTTCTGTTTGTGTGTATATGTGACAGAGGAGGGAAGGAGGATTGGAAAGCATTTTTCTTTTGTTTGGGAGCTTGAGTCTTTTTCTCACTCTTTACTATTGTGTCATACTTTCCTCTTCCCATTTCTCAGTCTTCACGTCTGATGGTCACATTTTCACGTCATAGTAAAATGCACTGCGAGATTATTTCATTTTTTCTGTACGTGCTTTTTTATGAATTATAAAAGTTGAAATTTTTCTTTAACTTAGAAATTTAATTAAAAAAAAATCTGGTCCACAATTGATTTTTTTGTGTGTGTTTCAGTGGCCCACAATATCAAGCTCTTCATTTTAGCATTTTCAACTTGACTTTTTCCTTAATGTCAATTTATAACAAATCCACAATTACATAATATTTATAATGGATCTCTGTAACAGTCTTTTATTCTAATGTATTTAATCACATTTTTGTATAAAGTAGTTTAAAAATGCTTATGGCTGTTGGTGCTCTCACTGAAATTGAAAATGATAATTTAAAGCATTCATGTTTTATAAATTTAGATTTTACAATTACTATATAATTTCAGAAGTTTTCTTTCAGAAAAGATACATTTTCTTTATGCCCAAATCAGTCAATACTTTCAAATAATTGCCAGTTTTTTGTTTTGTTTTGTTTTTGTGTTATCACTTTACAATGTGTTACAGATTTTTTCTAGACTTCTCAGATGGAGTTTTAAGGGTGAGATTTATTTTTACATAATAAGCTCTGGCCTATGTATGAAATACTTCATGGTTCAATAAATTGAGAGATGATTTAGTTATTGAGATGGTAAATAATTAATTCCCAGCAAAATTAGCAAGAGTTATATTGATCGCCTAGTATATCCCTGCAAACACCAGAGCTGGAGAGCCATGAAGGAGCCGACGACGAGCCTGAGGTCATGAAAGGTTTGCCAGTTGAGAATGGCATGGCTGCAACTGCTCTGCAGTCTTGTCACTTCCTTTGGGTGCTCTTGAGAATAGGAGTTGAGGAGTTTATAGAAAAGGAAAGGAAGCCGGAAAATTGACATCTTGAAGCAAAATTGGAGAAAGTAGGTTACCAGTTGCTAATTCCATTATTGATTTTAATGCATTTTGGTGACATCTTTCCCCTCAATTTCTTAAGTTTCTTAAGCAGTCCAACAATCAATATAGTTTTATGTTTTTAGATTTTATATAATCTAGCCTGTAGATTTTTATTTTTATTAATTTATTTTTATAATCAGCCTCTGCTTATCCATAGCCTGTAGATTTAAGAATTGTTTGAATTGGGGATCATGAGCATGGCATTTGTTTTCGTATAAAATTTTAGATACTCCCTAGCACTGTGACAAAAATAAAATTACTGGTGGTGGGCATGAAGCCTATTTTATGTAAAGTGGCCAGGAAAGACCTCTATGAACAGGTGACATTTCAGAGGGAAAGGGAGAAAAAAAGGAAGCTGCCACATAAATATCTGAGGGTAGGAAGAAGTTCAGATGACTGGCAGCAAATCTTAGTGCCTTGAGGTGGCCAAGAGAAACAGAAAAGTCTTTTGGACTCGGGTGTAGGGAATGACGTAGAGAGCCTTCAGGAAGGTGCAGAGAGGCAGGTGGAGTTGGTGAGAAGGAGGCAGGTGGAGTAGCACTTGTAGGACATAGTGGGGAGGTTGAGTTTTAATTATGTGGTGCCAACACACTGCTGGGATGGGGGATTGGGAGCTCTGATTAATATTGTAAAAGACACTGTTCTATGGAGAATATGGAGGGGTAAGAGTGGAAACAGAAGAGCCAGTTGGGAGGCTGCCGCAGCCATTTAGGGGCACCATGATGGTGCTGAACCAGAATATCTGAGGTGGAGGTGGTGAGAAGTGATCAGATTCAAGGCATATTTTAGAGGTAAAGCCCAAAAGACCTGCTAATGGATTGCACATGGGGATGAGAAGAAAAGAATTAAGGATGACAGGGGAGAGGGGATGAAATGAACTAAGGTGCCGGGCAGGACCAGTGGAGTGGTACCAAGGCTGGGTGGGCCTTCTTGGAATTGGTGGTCTTATGTTTGTTTGTGTCAGTGCATTCTTTCCTCAGTTTGAACCCTGAGAATGGATTAGTTCTGGGAATAGGATTTATTCTCTTATAGGCTAATACTGTTTAGTCTGGTTGGATTTAGGAATACTTTTAATATAAAAATGAATTTTTATGGTAATAATTCTTCAAGGATTAAAACTCGAGCTAGAAAAATGCACAGAATATTACATTACAAATACAGTTCTTTAGAATTTTAAGCATTACTTGCTACTAAAAAAGAAAAGAATACCTTTGAGAAACAAATATAAAAACAAAACTACTTTCTCATACTTTAGAAATGTACTGAAGTTTTACTTAGCACTCTCAAGTCAGTCATTTAGCTGGGCAAGTAGAATGAAATTCTTTGCCAAGATTTAAAACCACTTCATGCACAGGCGATACATTGGAGATACTGACAACTTTTTATGTTCAAGTTATCTGGCTTATTCCAACAAATACAGAAAATGTGGTGAAGTAACATAGTATTTCCTGCTCTCTAGTTTTAGGGGAAATAAATATTAAAGCTGTACCTAGATAAAGGAATGAGTTATGTGTCATATACAGCTGAAAGTGTTTGCATGTAAATGGTCACAATATTATTCCTGAAATGTGTTGGTTTTGAGTTTTCCAAAATTTGCTGTACTGTTTTTAACCTGTTACGCTCAGATTCTTTGAGAACCATAGGGCTTGATGAACAATAACAGGACACTGTAGATCTCTCATTTTATGCTATTTGAATTTTAGATCAGCTACTTTGCCTAATAAAGTGTGAAACCTGAACTTAGATGCATTTGCTTAATATTATTTAGAGGGGTTTATTATTTCTTTAGTAAAAATCATTGTATAGTGTTTTTTTTTCTTTTCCAATACTCATTTTTGTCCTGTATGTATAGTGTTTTAAAAGTCGTTTTTCTTTCAATATTTGTAATTTTTTGATAGCTTAATATCAGATTTTATCGAATGTTTACCATCAAATTACATAGTTTTTGGAACATTAGAACCAGAATTAACTGCTTCAGCTTTCTTCTTTTTCTTTTGGCAGAGAAATTGCTTTTACTCGGCAACTCCATGAGAAAACTTCTCAGCTCAGCTATTATTATATGGGTTTCTACATTCATTCATGTCCCAAGATGAAATATAAGGTAAAGTTGATTTTCACATATATGTCTGTTTTTATTATAGAAAAATGAATCTTTAATAAAATTTTTATCTCAGGGCACTGGATTTGAAGCTTTGTAGGAAGGACGAGTGGGTTAATAAGGAAATCTCTTTCCTGCCTCAGAAATTAAGCTTTCTGTAATGAGAACCACAGCCTCTCCTGCTCTTGTAATCCATTGAATTATTGTGAGATTTAAGTATATTTCAGATTTCTCTTTAAAAAAAAAAGTTTTATGACTCTTGTTAATGAAACCCTTTGATGTTTCCTAAGTATGAGTAGCCCACTGTAAAAACTGCAGAGTAAAGACCAGTGGAGAGGAGCAGACCACTGCCTTCCACCCACTGTGCTGGCAATAACCAAACACCTCTGCTTTCCTTAGAGTGAGGCTTTCAGCTCTGAAGATGCATGGATCTTCTGCTTAGAACTTGAGATCCAGATAAAGATTAGGGGCATTTTACGTAAAACCAGGGCATACAGTGGTCTGTCTGGTCAGTGGCCTACGAGGACATGGATTTTTTTTTTTTTACTTTACAAGATGTGGAAGAGGAAAGGAAGGAGTAGCTCAAGAAAAGAGTAGGTAGGATGAAGAAGCACATTTCAAGGAGAAGCAGCAGTAAAAGAAAGGATTAGAAGGGAAAGTACTGATGATGTGTTTTTAGCAAAAAGGGTAACCAAAGGACTGTGCAGGACCCTGTGGCCGGGCTAAGGTACGTAGGCACCTGGGAGTTACCAACAGTTGCAGGGCAGAGCAGTGTAAATCAGAAAACATACATCTATCCATTCATAGGCATAGGACTTCATGGGGGTTTAAAAACATGCCAAATTAAAGAAAAAAGCGTAATTGAACCCCTTGTACCCATTATCCAGCTTTAGCAATTTTCATGCATTTATTTCATCTATCCCTTCACTCTGTTTCCACCTCCACTCTCTCTTGAATTATTTTGGAGCTGATCAAAAATATCACTTAATCTGTCAATATTGTATTATGTATTTCTAAAAGATAAGGGCATTTTGAAAACGTAAACACGATCTCGTCATGTACCTACAGTGTTTCAAAATATCACCTGATATCTAGTCAGTGTTCATATTTCCTATTTTTTTAATTGTCTCATAATCTTTTTATAGTCAATTTGTTTGACATAAGACCCAATAAGGTTCATATATTTGTGATGTGTCTCTTAAATCTCTTTAATTGATAAATTTCTCCCCCACCTTTTTCTTTCTTACAAAGGAATAATTCACAGGACTTGGTGATTAACTAAATTTGGGGATGATTATAATTCCAAAGCTTTGAGGTTAAGTACTGAATGGCTGGGGAGATGGTTCCATTGTCAGAAATTGTGGATGCTGAAAGTAGGACTGGCTTCGAGAGAGAAAAGCACAGTGCCTTGCCGGTTTTACATTGACAGTCCGGATAAGCTGACAAAGGTGTCCTGCTGGTGCTTGGAGGTTTTCTTTTGAGCTCACATTTAAGTGTACATTGTGGGAGGTAACCTCTGAATGTGCTTATCTTCAAGAACTTCTTTTATGCCTGAATTATTAATTGACTTGGTAGGCCTTAACATATGTTCTGTACAGAAGGAAAAGCATGAGCATATTTCTGTTTGCTTAAAAATAATGATTTGGTTAAGTTTTTACTAGTGTTTTATCCTTCTGGCTCATTTTTATCTGGTACTAGATCTAAATTTGTTCAGAGCAGAAAACTGTAGTACTCAAGATATTTTGATATGTTTATAAGACTCAAAGAAGACTCAGGCTGTTCTTATATTAATCTTCCTTTAGTACATGACCCATTCAAATGAAATATTTTCATACCAGACTTAGGGACTTGCAGGGATTGCATTTTTATGTCTCATCTGTGATGGACATTCTAGTTTCACAGCATTTCTTTTGAAAGTTTTTCATTGTGCCTAAGCTAAATTCTAATTTGCTCTATATTTTAACCTGTTTTATTTTTTGTCATTCGTGGAAATGTTGGCTGTAGTTTCATCATCCTTTTCCTCTTCATGAAGACGTTTTGCCCACACCTTTGTTGACTCTAGTCTAGACTAAATATTTCATATTCTTTAGTCTCCTTCCTAGGCAGACCCCTGCTTGGAAATTCAAGCCAGCCTTTATTTAGTTTTAAGTTAAGGATTTAAAAAATACTATGTGCTTTCAGTCTGCCTTAATTATATCCAATCCAAATCCATCAGAATTATAGCTTCAAAATATTATTAGTTTAATTCTATTTATATGAGTGGTACCCCCATGTCTACTTGCCTTCTGGTTTACTTCCTTCCTTTATCCAGGAAATAGTCATTCAGATCCTACTGGAAAATAACAGCCGTGAGCAATACAGGCAACATCCCTGGTCTCATGGAACTTCCATTCTAGTGAAGAAGCTAACAGTGATAAAGAAGACAGATGTCAGATAGGGATGAGTGCTGTGTGGCAGACGTTAATTAAGTGAGTGTGGCTGCTTTAGATTGTGTTGTCATCCTCTCTGAGGATGAATGTTTAGGCTAAGATTTGAATGTCACAAAGTCAGCCAATAGGAAGTTTTGGGGTCATTTCAGAAAGAGATTGAGGAAACAGTTTAGTACTGCCTAGCCTTTTAGTTGCTGCAGTTGTCAGTTTTGACTGTAGTTTATGGCCTGGAGAACATTTTCATAAGACCCATTGTTAGGCCATATCTTCAGAGATTTTAAGTTATTGGTCTGGGATCAACTATGGGCATCAGATTTTTTTAATGCTCAGAGATTCTGATATGAAGTCAGACTAGATAATAACTGTAGCAAAATATTTTTGCACAGCTGAGAGCCTCTTGAGAAACGAAAGCTTATTATTTCCCATTTTAAACTTTGCTGTTTTCTGTTTATTAAATCCAGGATTACTCCTATTGAAGAAGCTCATATCTTTGCCTTGTCATCTGTGGCATAGAACATGAAATACTGACCAACCAGAGAATTCCCATTTTTTTCCCCACTTGAGGCCTTATCCATACAATATTCTTGTTTTTTTTTTCCATTCCCTTTGCCCCTCCCTCATGCTTGCAAATTCGCTGTCCATTGGGAAATTTCAACTCTAGTAATCTCTACTGGATGTAAGACTAGATTTCGTCATTCACCCACCTACCCTATAGCAGTTGATGTTTCTTCCCAGAACTAGTCTGTCTCCTTTGCCATACATTCCATGAGAATCTAATGACATTTAACTTCTTGTTTCCCAGGTAGCTACAGGGTGCCTGCCACATAGTAGATGTTTAATGCTTGGTATACATTTGTTGAACTAATAATTGAAAATACTAATGCAGAGGGCTGAGGAGTACGTAGGATAGTGAGAAATGCCTTCATTTTTTAAACAAAGATTTGTTGAGCACGAATGAGATGGCTTCTACTTTACAAATAGGTTATAACTTAGTAACAGATACACAGTTCTAACAATGTGATAGGTATTATGACTGATTATCTTTGAGTATTGATAAATACTCTGATAGCAAAGGGAGGTAGTGACACAGGAATGTGTAACAGCTTGGAGAAGTTGCTTAACTACATCTGGTCTCAGTTTTTGCAACTGTAAATGGGAATGATGTAGAAATTAGACAGGTTGTTATCTGTGTTTGAGTGTAGATTCTATCCAGTTGGGTAGCATTCATGAAATCATTACCTGAGCTTTGGTTGAGACCTGTCAAGGCTCCCTCTGTTTGGGTACTGATAACTGACATCCAAATTTTTGCATGCCTGCTCTTGTTATTAACCAAACTTCTTAGATTAGTTTAGATGCTGAAACTAAATGCTGAAAAGGAAAGGCATGTACTACTGGATACCAATACTGCCTCTCCGTGAAAGTTCCTACAGTTGTGGACACTTGTCTTTTGCTTAGAGGCCACTGGCACTTCATTAGTCCATTTTCATGCTGCTGATAAAGACATACCTGAGAAGGGGAAGAAAAAGAGGTTTAATTGGACTTGCATGGACTGGGGAGGCCTCATAATCATAGTGGGAGGTGAAAGGCACTTCTTGTGTGGCAGCAGCAAGAGAAAATGAGGAAGATGCAAAAGTGGAAACCCCTGATAAAACCATCATATCTCATGAGACTTACTTCCACGAGAATAGTATGGAGGGAACCGCCCCCATGATTCATATTATCTCTCACTAGGTCTCTCTCACAACATGTGCAAATTATGGGAGTACAATTCAAGCTGAGATTTGGGTGGGGACACAAAGCCAAATCTTACCAGACACTGAGCCCTGTTAGGGAATAGTGCTACAGTGTAGTGAACCTTTAAGTAACGAATCCTATATCGTGCCACAGGGTGTCTGTCAGCTTTGGCCCTATCTGTTCAGGGTAAAAAAAAAAAAAAAGTCTCTTAGAGCTCAGGTATTTGTTGGCTGAATAAATAAAATGGTTGGTTTGCTCCATTGGAGTGAGGTGAAATTGGTACATTTGTTCTAGGACTCCAACCTGTATGTCATAATTGATGGCAATCTAATACTCAGGTGAAGGCCATTTAGATCAGAAAAGAGCACCCTTTCTGTGCAACACCATTGTAACATTCCTACTTACCCCGCAAACTGAGCTATTGAATTTGAGGAGGACTAGTCAGGTTGTGTGGCAGAATATCATGTCACTCCTTTAGTCCCTTTTCCAAATACTGCATCAGAAGCTAAGACTGTAATTTCTGTTTACTTAGGGATAAAGCTGAGCAATTCAGAATAATTTATGGTCACTGTAGATTATTGGCACTTCATTCCTGTTTTTAAAATAGCAAGTTACTGTGTCTGTAGAAGATCTTTAGGGCAACAAGTATCATTATAAAAGGTAACTGATTATACAATTACTGAAATTAGTAGCTGGTCTGGGTTGGTAGCAATCAGTTCAAAAGCAGATTGGTCTTTTTTTAAATAAAGTAAAGCTGACATGAAAACTTCCAAGTCCAAGCATGAATATTTCTCATTGCCAGTTGTAGGTCTGGAACTAGAGACCAGCAAGAAATAACTCACAGAAAATGAATTGTTGCCATGTGGCAATTTTTTTTTTGTTTTTTTGTAAATTTATGTTTTTCAAATCATGAGTCTTGACAAAAATCAGTTGAAAAATCAGGAAATTGGGAGAAAATATTACTAAACAATCAGCATAAAAATGTTACTAGTTTGAAGGAATCCAATAGATGTCAAGTCAAAAGAAAGGACAGGAAACTCTGAGACTCAGAGCTGACAGTGAAGGTTGACACTCTCAGGAAGCAGGACGGGAGTGCAGAGGAGGGAGCACTCATCATCTCATCAGTCAGTCTTGCTTGTAGCTGTGTTGTGGAATGTGTGTGTGTGTTGTCTGCTGATAATGATGTAAACAACAGTATAAATATAGATATTAATAAGCTGATATACAAAATATATGAGTAGTGTTCCAAGAAATAACAAATCTTGGAAGCAAAATAAGCTTATACATAAACTTATGTGTGTGAGGCTGCTTATTTGCCAAGAAATCCAAATGTTAGGTTGTTTGAAATCGTGTCTAATGGTGTTCACTGGAGTTTTCCAGTGTTTTAGTATTCACTGTATGCTAAAGATATTTGTAATACTACTGTCCTTCATATTTTTATTAAGCAATTTTTAAGATATCCATTCTAATGAGTAAGGAGTCTGAAGAATATTGGAAGTATTAAGAATAACTTGTGATTTCAAGAATTATAGTATTTCATTCCTTGGTCCCCAAAATTAGTATGTTTAGAATTTTGAAACATCAACATTTAGGAAACTGAGTTACAGTCCAATGTAGAAAAAGACAATCTGGGACTCAACGTTACCATTTAAACAAATTTTTGGTATATTATGTTCACATTATTTGTTCTTGGGAGGGCGAATTCTGAGAATTTGAAGTTTACTTAGCGATTCTGTAACTATTTGTGAGATAGTGAGAGAATTTTTCAAGATTACATTAACTTCATAAAGTCAGCATTTTCCTGGCATCATTTTTTGGGAACACTTTTGGGTTTAACAACAATATGTTGATTTTAATTTTTATATTGTTAATTTTAAGGAAATAGTTTGCATTGCCTTATGATTGAAAATGAGTAATTTTAGGTAACTGCAGGATTGAAGTTATTTTCAGTTCAGTTAAGAATATTGTCTTTGTTCTTTTTGTGTTTATGTAACAGGATACCTGAGGTTTGAGAATTTATAAAGAAAAGAGTTTTATATAGCTCATGATTTTGGTGACTGGAAAGTCCAAGGGCATGGCACTGGCATCTGCCCAGCTTCTGGTGAGGGCCTTGTGCTGTGTCATAGTGAAGTGGGAAAACAAGGGGGACTGGATGAGAACAGAGACAGGCAGGAGAGCCTAAGTTTATTTATAGTAACCTGCTCTCAGGAACACTTCCATTCCCATGAGAGCGAGAACCTACTCACTCCCACTAGACAGCTTTAATCTGTTCCCCAGGGCAGTTCTCCCGTGATCCAAACACTTCCCACCAGGCCCCATCTCCCAACACTGCCACACCAGGAGTCAGATTCCACCATGGGCGTTGTCAGGGTTAAACCAGGTCTGCACCATAGCAAATACTATGTTATACTTTGAGCACGTGAGAACCTTCACTTACAAGGGAATAGCACATCTGCTTCTTAAAATAGATCTTTTCAATCAGAAAATGTGCTGTTCAAAATTGTAAGATAGGTGTTGGTCCAAGCATGACTATTTCTCATTGCCAATTGAAGGTCTAGAACTAGAGACCAGCAAGAAATAACTCACAGAAAATGAATTGCACACTATTGTAAAATCTCTCATTTTTGAGATTTGAATGGAGGTAAATTTAGTGTATGGCTACAAAAACAATTAAAATTATCTTTTTTTCTTAGCATGTAAGTATGTAAAACACTAGTAATGGCCTATTTTGCCACATTGTGAAATATACATGGAAAAACCTACAAACATGTTTTCTATCTGGTATTTAAAAGAAGAGGAATATATTTCTTAAATAGGAATGCTATTTTTAACAACCAAGAAGGAGCAGCCCGTTAGGTACCTGGTCCATGCTAGACACTGGAAATACATTTGTAAGCAGTACAGACATTCAGCCCTAATGAAGGTTGCAACTTAGGGGGACACAGATAATTATAATATAGTATATTAAATGGTACCAGGTGACAACTGAAACTAGATTAATGTTTCATTTGGATTTTCTTGTGCAGATGTGTACATGTAAGTTACAATCTTCACCATATATTTATTGTATGATGTAAAGCAAATTAAAGTATTGAATAGCAGGTCTGAAATAACACAAAAGAGCTAATCTACCTGCTCTTTTTTGTTGAGTAATGAGCTATCACAATGGCACGCTGAAATGATGTGTCTGTTTTTATGTGTAGTGAGCCCCGTGTTTTGGTGGATGGTTTTCAAAGCTGTCCACCATCAGGGCCTCTCATCTCTGTGCATGCTGCTCAACCCATCAGCAGTCTAGGCTGTTTTCCTCATCCTTGATTGGACTGATCTGATGGCTTGCACGGACTAATGGGTAGCCTGGAAGAAACTGTCTGAGACTTCTGATCTCAGGCCTTAAGAGGTCTGGCAGCTTTCACTTTCTGTGTCTTTGGAGCTAGCCATCATAGTACCCTCCTGGAGAGAGAGACCACCATATGAGGCCTGAATCCATCTTGGGTGTTTCAGCTCACCCAAGCTGAATGCATCTGCATGATTGAGCTTGAGAGAGACCAGAAGAAAACGCACCTGGCTAAGCTGTAGCCAACCCACAGAATCATGAGGAATAATAAGTTATTGTTTAAGGTCACTAACTTTTTGGGTGGTTTCTACTCAGCCATGGATGACTGAAACACATGGTGTAGGTGTGGAAGTCACACCTTCATTCTCTGTTGTGCTGTGCAGGCTCATGTCTTGAATTGAGCTGAATGGACCTCAGTGGTTTCTGATGGCTTCATGTAAGAGTATTGGCAAAGTAATTTAATTTCCATTTGCAGTCATGCCTAGAGATGTGCTCATTGGGCTTATGAGAATTTGTCTTTATAAGACATTTCATTTAATATCCTGACATGAGCCTACAAAGTATCTTAACATGCTGACAAATTTTGATTTTGCTTGCCTTGCTAATGGTGAGCACCACAAGAGGAAAACCAGTATGTGGTCATCTTCATAGTATATAAACAGGATGCATTACAATAAATTCTCCTCCCTAAGGAAGTTTGCTAATTTGTAGTAATTATATTCTTGTGCATCATATTATCTAAAATGTTTTTATTGAATTTTTTGGTTTTACTGTTCAGTAGGTATGGGTTTTAAATAAAGGCTGATTCACATTGTATACATTATGTAGTCATTATATTACATAGTCAGATATTTTTTGTCTGAGACCGTAGTCTTACATGTAAGGCACAAGATAGTCACAAAAGAATTTAATGAGAGATGATAGAGTCATTGATGAAAGGAAATTGTCTTCATATGTTTTGTTATCATTGCTTACATGAGCTATTATAGTAATTGTGGTCATTTTAATGGGACTTGGTACTGTTTTAGTGTAGCTCAGTATCAATCTGGGGACTCAGGCATTGGTTGAAATTGGTGGAAATGTATTTTGAACGGAGAAAAATTTCTCCTGAGTGGCGGAGGTTGCAGTGAGCTGAGATCGCACCACTGCACTCTAGCTTGGCAATAGAGTGAGACTCTGTCTCAAAAAAAAAAAAAAAAGAAAAAAAGAAAAAAAATTAATGTTGGCTGTGGTAAAATACATATAATGGTTACTCTCTTAAACACTTTTAAGTGCTCAGTTCGCTGGTATTAAGTACATTCACATTGCTATGCCACCATCACCACCTTCCATCTCAGTTCTTCATCTTACACAATTAGTACCCAATAGACAGCAGGGCCCCCCCCTTCTCCACCCCTAAGAATTGGACTACTATAGGTGCCTCATATAAGTGGAATCATAGTATTTGTCTTTGTAACTGGCATAATTCACTTAGCTTTATACCTCAAGGTTCATTCACGTTGTCACATGTGTCAGAACTTCTTTCCTCTTTCAGGCTGAATAATACTTCATTGCATGTATGTACCACATTTTGTTTGTCTGTTTGTTCATTGGCATCTGGGCTTCCCCAGTCCTCAGGCTGTTATAAATAATGCTGCTTTGGACACTGAGTACAAATATCTCTTTGAGACTCGCTTTTTCATCTTTTCTTTATACCCATAAGTGGAATTGCTGAATCAGTGGTAATTCTATTTATAATTTTTTGAGGAACTGCCACCTGTTTTCCATAAGGTATACCATTTCACATTCCCACCGACAGTACACAAGTTTCCAGTTTCTCCACATCTTCACCATCACTTGTTATTTTCTGGGCTTTGGTTTGTTTTTGCTTTTAATATTAGCTATTGTAATGGGTGTGAGGTTATTTGTGTCTCTTCCTAAGATTAAGGAAACCCTCACTGAGAAGACTTCTGGTAGACTTCACATGTTCCATTTGTCAGAGTTGTGCCTCTTATTTGTATGTGAGCTAATCACTGAGGAGTTAGCATTAAGGCAAGTACCATTGGTAATGGGAGAAACTGCTTCCTTGAGCACAGGGTACTGCAGAGGATGAACAGCTGAAAAAATTTTTTAAATTCTGCCTAAGGGCCGGGCGCGGTGGCTCAAGCCTGTAATCCCAGCACTTTGGGAGGCCGAGGCGGGTGGATCACAAGGTCAAGAGATCGAGACCATCCTGGTCAACATGATGAAACCCCGTCTCTACTAAAAATACAAAAAAATTAGCTGGGCATGGTGGTGCGTGCCTGTAATCCCAGCTACGCAGGAGGCTGAGGCAGGAGAATTGCCTGAACCCAGGAGGCGGAGGTTGCGGTGAGCTGAGATCGTGCCATTGCACTCCAGCCTGGGTAACAAGAGCAAAACTCCGTCTCAAAAAAAAAAACAAAAAAAAACAAAAAAAAAACAAAAAACAAAATTCTGCCTAAGCCAGTATTTTCTTTAAACTGGGATATGAAATAAATTTTTAACTGAGTGTTGGTTTAAACATTTCCATCTCTATATGTCATATTTGTAACCTGTATTGTTGGAAAGAAAACTTTATTAAAAATGAGTCCTTTCAACCTTCATTCAGATTTTAATTGTGTGCATAATGATAGTCATCATATTAATTTCACTTTAGTTTATTTCCCATAATTCCATCTTGGGGATTAGTGGAAATTATTTAATAATTAAACTATTATATAAATTAATATAATTATGTTAAATTGAAGGTGCTCAGTGGAAATTATTTCTTTTAAAATTCATTATTCCTCTTAAAAATTAATCCCGTGTTAATTTCACATCTCAAAATTTTGTATATAGGCTTCTTTTTTTCTTTACCTTGCCTCCTTTTTGGTTTATGCTTGAAAATAGCTATTTACTTTTTTTTTTTTTAACTTTAAACATGTGGTTCCTATGCTTTTCAAATATTTCTTATTTGCATGTAAAGTTTAGTTCTCTCTTTTTAACCCCTTCTCATTTCAAAATGATTATATTTGAAAATGAAAATTAGAGTATATAGAAATGTTGTTAGTCATAATTAAATTTTTTCCCCCATGTTATCTCTCAGAGTGCTGCTGTAAGGCCATTCTGTGATCTGAAGAAAGTATTTTGACTGAATTCTTTATCCAGGCTTGTATGCAGGCCAAAGTAGACAAAATGATTTCAGGTAGTCTGTTTGGTATCATGACATGGTCAGACATAGAGATCGTTGAGACATCAGAAAGAATTCTGAAATGTCATAAAAGAAACAAAAGGCTAAATCCATCTGTGATTAATCATGCTTGTGTGACTGTCTCAGCTCAGTTGTGGGAATTGGAATTCTACGGGGCTTTGCCCAAAAATAGGTACTTGGCATTACTATTATAATAATAGGCACCTACAAAAAAATTTTTTTAAAGGAATTAAAAGAGCTGCATCTGCAAAATTATGCACAGCTGAAACCCCCAAGCGTCCAAGCCTTTCAGAATTTCCTGACCAAACACATTAGTAAATGTTATTTTACTACAGCCTTGCTGCCCAGAGTGGTGCATGTGGATACACATGGTAGGTGACTTTGCTACTGCTGGGCTGAAAGGAATACAGATGATCTCACCAGTAACCCATAGCACAGAACAAAATACTGAATTCATTTGATTCAGCATGTCTTCTTGATGTCAAATGTCCAATGAATTAGACATAGTAAGAAAAATTACCACAGGATAATTTAGTAAGGAATTTTTGATGCCCCCTAGAGGTGACGGGAGGTAAAAGAATTCTCATGGTCATTACTAATTCTTGTTTATAAAACTGTCACGTGTGTGAACTTTTGCCACACCAGTTCTTTACTGTTCTAAGCTTTTCAGTACAGATGAGAAAATTGAAGCTCGAGATGGTTAGCTTGCCCAGAGTTTGTCTTAACTCGCATTTTAATTTTGGCCACCAGAAGGAGAGTTTGAACTTAGGAATTGAATATCATGTAAATGGCATTGCTTATCACATTTATGATAAGGTATATAAAACTTTCAATTTTGGAGTATCCTAAAACGATTGCCATGTTAATTAAATGTAAGTTTTAGGGGAAATAAAAGTATATTTAATCATGTGTCAGATTTTTCTGATCCTTTTTCTTATCTCTCTTCACAATGAACCAGAAAGCTTGGTGTAGTGCCTGATTCCCAACCTTGGAAAATAATCAGTTGTCTGTGGAGCTTTCTAAAAAATGCTAATGTCTGAGCTCTACCCCCACCTATTGAAGAAGGAAGTGTGCTTCCTTCTCTTGCATAGCCCATGCTCTTGCTGCCGGGCACTATGTGCACGGAAATTTTCCACCTCCGAGCTCTGTGCGTTCTCTTGCGTTGAGATGTTTTTCACTTGTCTCTGCATGTGGAAGTCGGAGCCTCTTTTTCAGACCGAGTTCATGTACAAGTTTTCCATGGAAGTCATTCTTTGGGCCTCTTCTGTAAAACATCATGAGAGATGCCCAGGCAAAAGGAAGATTAGACACAGTCACTACTTGTGCATTCGTGAGCAAACTATGTCTTATCTGCCACTATCCCCACTGCCCAGCAAATTAATTGACAAATAAGGTATTCAGTGAAATTAAAAAAAAAATTGGGGGGACATGCATTGCATGTGAAACATGGACTCTGCATGGATAAAACTGAAAAAATGAAGGAAAGTTATGAATGCTGTGCGCAGGACAGGTGGTTCAAATCAAAACTGTGGACATGGGAACATTTTTCAAAGTTCCATTTCAGTAGTACAATTTATGTTTTCTGTGAATTCATGTCTCTCCTACCTACCTGTAGTTTCTTTTTAAGTGAACTTCTTATTGAGGTGTGATATATATACAGAAAAGTGTACCAATCTTAAGTATACAGCTTGATGAATTTTCACAAAGTAAACACACCTGTGCAACCACCCAAAACAAGAAACAGAACATGCCCAGCACCCACAAGCCATCACTCCCTTCCTTAGTTACTGTCCCATCCAAGGTAACCAGTGTTCTCGCTTTTAACACTACAGGCTAGTTTTGCCTGCTTTTATACTTTCCATAAATGGAAACACTCAATGTATTTTGTTTTGTGATGGGTTTTACTCAACATTATCTATGTGAGATTTATCCATGTGGTTTTATGTAGCACTAGGTCATTTGTTATTGCTGGGTATGGTATACTATTTAATGAAAATACCACATTTTTCACACCCATTCTACTGTAGATGGATTGTTTCTAGGTTTTGTCTAATATAAATGGAGCTGTGAACATTCAGTTACATGTGTTTAATGAACATATGTGTGCATTCCTGATGGCAATAGATGTGGGTGTGAATTGCCAGATCGTAGGGTATGTGTGTGTTCAGGTTTAGTTGATATTGCTCATAATTTTTAAAAAAGTGATTGTATTAATTTGCAGTTCCACTGGCAGTGTATGAGATCTCCATTTGCCTCATTCCTGATGGGTGTGTGGGGAGTGGTGGTACGTTGTGTTTTTTTGTTTGTTTGTCGCCTAGGCTGGAGTGCAGCGACACAATCTTGGCTCAGTGCAACCTCTGCCTTCCAGGTTCAAGTGGTTGTCCTGCCTCAGCCTCCTGAATAGCTGGGATTACAGGTGTGCACCACCATGCCCAGCTAATTTTTGTAATTTTAATAGAGATGGGATTTCCCCACATTGGCCAGGCTGGTCTTGAACTCCTGACCTCAAGTGATCCACCCACCTCGGCCTCCAAAAGTGCTGGAATTGCAGGCTTGAGCCACCATACCTGGCCTGCATTGTGGTTTTGATTTGCATTTTGCAGTTGATTGTCAGTGTTGAGCACCT